TCCATTTATAAAAACCTGCAATTTTATACAATATATATATATATATATATATATATATATATACACATATACATAAAACACAAATCACCTAATGGAACAACATACCCCATAACTTTTGTGGAGGTGGTGAGAACATAAAATCATCAGGTATCTACTCAGGCTCACACAATGACCACTAGTACAAAATACTTTAGGTAAACCTTTTCCAGTAATGGCTTCTGGAAGACATCATAGAAAATGACACCAAATCTACCTAACTCCTGTCAAAACTAAATTTTTAAAAGAACTAATTTTATTCATCATCATTATTATTTTAAATTTTAAAAAATTTATTAAATTTTATTTATTCATTCATTTATTTTTAATTTGACAGAGGGAGACACAGAGAGGGAGAAAGAGAGGAAGTGAGAAAGCAAGCCACCAGGTCCAGGACTTGAACCATGGTCAGCCATGTGGGAGTGTCCAATACCTTAACCACCATGCCACCTGCTGGCCCCTATTATTTTAAATTTGAACAGAGAAAGAGGGAAAATGAGAACGCAGGCCACAAGTTCTAGAACTCAAACCAGTTGGCCATGTGGTAATCCAGCACCTTAACCACCATGCCACCTGTCAGCTCCAAGCAAAATTTAACTTATCAACCTGTCTAACCAAAAGCTTTTCTATTTGTTCTAATTTCCTTTGGTTAACTCATAATTACTTTCAAAGAGCAGAGCAAGAGTGATGACAGGCAAATTTTATATTCCAGGATTCCTGTTTCTTAAACTTCCTTAAGGCAATTTTACTACCTACTAGTATTTTTTTAAAGTTTCTTTTCATGAGAGAAGTAGAAATACTGATGGAGAGAAATAGGTATTCACAACAGGGTCTTTACATCAAGATCCATCCCAGCCAGCCTAAATGATGCGCACACACAAACCAACACGTACAGGGAGACCTTGAGACCTCTCTACCCGGGTAGAGAGACCCGGGTAATGCATCACAGAGATTGCATTACCATTGTGCTACTGCAGCTGGCCCCTTACCTCGATTTTTTTTTTTTTTTGAGAGGTTTTTGCTATAGGGCGCGTGCGCTTGCCAGACAGAGACAGAAAGTGAGAAATCACTCCCCAGTGGGGGATGGACAGGCTGCAATCCCTTCTCCTCCACTCTCCTCTTGGGATCTTGGGCACGCACGCACATGCGCCCACACACGCGCCCGGCGTGAGTTTTTAAGCCACTGGGTCCAGGACTTAAACCGCGGTCAACTACAGGGAAGTCCAGCAACATAGCCATTCCACTAACTGCTGGTCCCACTCACAATTTTTTTAAAGGATAGATAGTAACATTAAAAAGAACATGTTGATTGTACATGTCTTCCAGCTTGCAGGAAGGAAAGGTATGCAGACTAGGTAATTTACTTAAAAGTCACATAAATAGGGCCAGCTGTGTTGAGTAGCATTAAGTGCTATACATTTTGAGCTGGATACCACATAGCTGACGTTGGTTTGAATCCTGGCCCCCAAGAGGCTTGAAAAACACACATGGTATGTGTGTATGTGTACCCAGAACCACAATAGGAAGGAAAAATTCAGGAAAAAGGACCATAGGGTGCCCACACCCCATTGAGGGATTCTTTTTCTATTTTTCTCTCTTTTCTGGTGGGCACACATAACCTCTGGCAATTATTTTTAAAATAAGTGACATAAATGACTTTGTTCTTCATCTCTGAGGCAATGATTTCTTTCAGGGAGAATACCTCATACACACAATCTGATATGCTTCCCCTTCACTACAATTCCAAGTCACTGCCTAAATGAGCTACTGTTAAAAAATGGCAATTAGGTGTATGCACGTAAGCATGGAATATGGATTTTTGTTAGGCAAGGAGAGGGATCAAGGTGAAGTAGTGGAAAAACTGAAAACCACTGTTCCCAAAAGCAAAAGATTCTAAACACAATTCATTAAACATTTGTTCTAAGGATTTAGTTATGCCATACAGTAAATTTTCCTTTAAGATAGAAATAAACCATATTCTACAAGCATTATTTTCAGGTAACTTAAAGACATCTGGTTCCCTTTTAACATACCTTTGGAGCTATAAAGGAAGTGTAAACTCCCAAGAGCCTGGTCTCTGTAATGCTAATCTTGCTTGCCATTGTGGTTTGTCTACTTTTTAGTTACCATTCACTCTTATTCCACCTAGTAAGAGAACAAATTCTTGGGGCCAGCAAGTGGCAGTGGTGGTTAAAGGTGCTGAATTTCCAAGTGGCCCATCTTGGTTCTCTCTCTCCCTTTCTCTCTCTGGTCAAATTAAAAAATAATAACAAATGGAATTAAATAAATATTTTTAAATAATTAAAAAAAGAGAACAAATTCTTTAACACTCCGCATTCTCAGATTCCTCAAAAATGCTGTTCTTACTAATTTCAGACAAATTAAAACTATTAAATGAGCTCACTAATAAAAAGCACATGACAGAAAAAGCAAGAAACATCTGGGCTAGCAGGTGGCATGGTGGTTGAAGTGCTGGACTCCGACAGGGGCAAGCACTGTTTTGAGTTCCAGACCTGATGGCTTGTTTTCTCACTCTCCCTCTCTCTCTGGTGAAATTAAAAAATAATAAATAAAATTAAATATAATTCTTAAAAATAATAAACTGGGGCCCGCAGGGGGCATGATGGTTAAGGCAGCTGGATTCCACACTGGCCCCTGTGCAGGGAGCCCACATATGAAGTTTGGAAAAACTTGCCTGGCGCATATGCACCATACAGGTACATATGCATAGATGTATATGCATACTTATCTACACAAAAATCAGAGAATGGAGAAGGGATTGGAATGTGCCCACCTCTCACCCCTGGGGGGTGATTTCTCACTTTCCTTTGGTTTCTGAAGAACTAATTGCCCTATGGCAAAAAAAATAAATAAATAAAAAATCTTGAACTCCTAAAAGTACTCAGGTGAGAAGCCAGAAATTGGTGTTCTGGTTAAGGTGCTAGACTCTCACTGAGTCCCGGACCTGGTGGCTTACTTATTCACTTTCTCTTTCTCTTGTGAGCACATGTACCTTACAGGAAATTTAAATAATAATAATTAAATAAATCTTTTTTTTAAAACAAGAACTCAGGAGAAAATGTAACATCAGCCCTTTAGGGAAAGTTTCCCCCACCTCTTTATTCTTTGAACTAGTTAGAAGGTCAATTATATCTGTCTCTATAAAAAGAAATGCTTTTAGGGTCAGCCAGTGGTTAAGGGGGCTGGATTCCACAAGGCTGAATGTGCAGCTCAAGTCCCAGAACCAGCAATTTGAAAATTATGCCAGGCACATGTACATACATGCCCAAAATCTCAACAGGAGAATGGAGAAGGAACTATAGGGTAGCCATCTTCCCTGTGAGTTGTTTTTGGTTTTGTTTTCAATTTCCTCCTGTTCCTCTGGCAGACACAAACACCCTATAGTAAAAACTTTTTAAAAAAAAATGCTTGAATTTGGAAAAGTGAACATTCTGTCTAAACTTCATACTATTTCCAAAAACCCTAAGTCAGTTTGATGCTAGCTGCTTATCCACTTTCTCAATTATGCCCTGAATTCCTAAGGAATCTCACAGAATTTCCAAAATTCATTCTCAATATACAAACTAATAAATATATATTACATTGGTCAACAGGAATTTTTGTATAGGAAACAAATGAGTTACCTTTAGTGTGATATACAATAGCAGCCCTCAGGTCAAAAGAACCCCAGCTATCGTTCCTTTCTAGGCCTCTCTGGTATCTCTGTTCTTTGGCGGAGCCTAACAAAGTGTTCGTAGGAGAGACCAGAGGATTTTGATTTTCTATCTCGTAGTCCTTTGAGAGAAACACTAAAGCACCTTGACTATTGGTGTCTGCTTTCTGCAGGTCACCTATATGACTGGGTTCCAAGGATAAGGCTCCACTTTCACCAGTAGTCCCAGATTTTAGAATGCTACCCAGAACTTGAGGACTAGTCCGTTTCTCCAGCTCATAAGCCTTGGGAAACACAGGATGCTCAGTTCCTGAGGGGATTATTTCAGCACCCTGTGAAACCAAAGTGGCAGGATATTCTCCTTGAAATGTCACCTCCATCACTTTATGATCTGATGACTTTCCAATAACAGTCTCAGGGCCAGCACTGGGTTCATTTATGAATGATAAACCCCACTGATTCTGGAAGATATCTCCCAGATTCTGCTGATCTGTTTGAGAGGGCAGATCCACTTGTGCTGTGCTTAAAAGCACAGTTTGCATATTTGAAGGGTAGATAAAAAGGCTAGACTTAATTTGTTCAACAGCTGCTGAAGTTAAACTCATGTCCTGAAGAACTGAATCAGCCCCAGATGAGATAGGTGTCAGAGTACTAGCAGCAGTAGTTAGCAGTGGCTGACCCCCCGGAGGATACACACTTGCATCAGTCCCTGCTAAAACAGGCCCATTAGAGAAGTTGGCAGAAGTAACAGATTTCAGCGCTGACATAGGGACCTGGGTTAACCGACTTGAAGATTGGGTCTGAGTTTCTCCAGTAGATGATGAAGAGGATGAAGATGAAGATGGTGACACAGAAGAGTTCTGTATAGTTTTGTTGAGGTTTTCCTTAACTTTGCTTGCATAACTTATTTTAGGAACTATTTTAGCACTGCTATTGTCCACTGGAAAAACTGGAGGTGGTTTAAATAGGGTCCACGAGTCCTCTTTGGAGGAAACAGCTGAAGCATGTTTTCCTTTGGGCCGATCATCAAACTTTTTGCTGCTCACACCAGGTTTAATATCCGAACTTTTCCGAAGCATATCACCCATAGCAGATTTTCCTCGACTTGTTCCTCCAGGACCAGTTTCATACTTCCAAATAGGCTTTGAACCATCTACTCGGTTTCCCTTTTCACTGTAGTCAGGCTTGAAAGTTTCAAGTCCCTGTTTTAAGGTTGGGACACTGGTCTCTTGTGGCATTATTTTGTCCTGCACTAAATTAAGGTTTTCACAACCCTTAGTACTATTGCGCCTAGCTTTCCTCTTTTTAGGAGTGGTATATCCACTCTCAGATCCACTACCATCATTATCTGCTCCTTTGCCTATATAACCATTAGTAATATAGCTAGAATTATTTGTCACGACACCATTTGGAATTGATACAGAATCAGTCTTATCTACAGACTGGTTCTCTCCAGATTTACTTTCATAAGACTTCCCATTCTTTTTGTCCATACTGTTTTTCTGAATAAAATTCTTGGTTTTAATTCCTGCTTTCCCAAAGGTGCTGGTCTTTACAGTCTGCTTCAGGCTAGTGTCTACAACTTGCTGGTTGCCATTGAGGACCCTTGAAATAGGGTTGGTAACTTCATCAGAACCCAGGCTCTTTGAAGATATTTCTCTTTCTCCAGCATTACCATTTAGTTCACTATAGCCTAGAGGGAGGGAAAAAAAAGTTTTAAAAATCACAACATTAAATTACAATAGTACTTAACATGTAAGGACTGTTTATTCTATGCTATGAGCTCTAGCTTTTTATGTTATTAATTCACATCTCTGTGAGAAGACACTTGTCAGTCCCATTTTATAGATTAGAAATATCCACTGTTAAGCAAAGCAAGAGGCAGAAATAAGCCATGATTCAAATCAAAGTCTGAGGGTCAGAGAGAATTTGTCTTCTTAAGCTGTATGCCACAATCTCTTATCTAACAGAATCAACCTATCCATCATGCTCAAGGCTGTTATAAAGTTTTCTCTACAATTAAGATCAAAGCTACCCTCTGGGCAAAAATCAAGTTTTATTGATAAAGTAATTATTACAAGGAAATTAAAGACTTCATTACTATGAAATCATAAATGGCTGATGATCACCATAAGCAATTTCCATTGCATCTGTCAGACAAAATCTAATCTTTTCTAAACTAGTCTTAAATTCGTTGACATTCTTCAGGCATTCGATTATACTGTTAATATACGAAACCAAAACCTATGTACATGTTTCTAAACCTTGTAAGACATATTTTCTTCATTTTATATTCCGGTAAAAGGCTCAGAGAGATGAAATAAGTTGCCCAAGTCACAAAGTGGCAGAACAGGAAACCTAAACTCCAGTCTGTCTGTCCATGGTTTCCTACTATGAGAAAATTCCAAAAACACAGTGAGAAAATATATAAAATTACAATTAAAATATTTTTAAATAGTAAATAAGATTTTTTTTTAAATACAGTATCCTGGTTTAAAGATCTTCAGCCACCATAAACAGTTAACTCTTACTATGACAGATGACTCAACTGGGTCAACAACTTCTCCCACTGCCTTTCTACTGGTATGAGTTATTTATCTTTCTACAAAATGGTCACAAAGATATCTTGGAAGTCAAGTTATTAGATGTAGATACACAATAGGGTACACTCACAAACTTTCATTTAAGATAGCTTTTGGGGGGAGTCTAATAGAAATACTAAGTTATTTGCCATTATCACTGATTCTTTTGGTTTTGGGCCTATAAAGACTAAAAGGCATACATACATTCATGCACTTTCTGAAAATTTTAATTTCTTACATGGTAAATATAAATAGCTATAACCCACATCAAAGGTTCTTTTGAAGGCCTTAATTTTAAAAGTATAAGGAACACTGAAATTGTTTAATTTGGGGACCAATATTCTTGAACAACTTGACGTAGAACATAAAAGGCTAGAAAGATTCACGGTAGGTTTAACTATAGTCACTCATTTTTCATCAGAGAAAAAGGTAAACACTAAAAATGTGCAAATAAAGCCATTTCCTTCCACTTAATAAAATTCTAGAAAATAACTCAAGAAAACACTTTCAAGGCAAATAATCATTCCTAAAATATAGTGGCATAAAACATGTACAATAAGAAAATACGTTTGTAAAAGCTTTTATTTTTGCAGGGTTACACTTTTATTTTTTGACTGTCTAAAAAGTTGTAATAGCCAATCAAGTTTTTGGTAGAATGAATAACTATGAAACAGGAAGAAATCATTCTTAGGATGTTTTCTAAAAGGGTCCTTATTCTTTAGAAAAGGAGAGTTTTAGAGGCTGTCACCATTTTTAACAGATATAACTATACTTATGGTACTTTGAATCAACCATTTAGCATACTACCAGGCAAAACAAAGGCTTGTATCCTTGGACCCATCCATCATAACTTTTCAGCTATTTTTGGTATTTAAGCAATCTTAAAACACCTAAAAAACACAATGTCTGAACTAACCTGAACCAAAGAAAAGACCTTCAAAAGAACTGAAATATTTTCCCTTAGATTACTAATATTTAGTGGCTCAGACAAAAGAAATCACCAAACAATGAAAAACAGCTCAGAAGCCACTATGCTCCCACTCCCAAGTTTTAATAACAAAAAAATGTTCTCAGTGAACTATATACAATTTCTTCCATGGCAACCTTGTTGGTATATAAAAAAATGTGCCAAAGAGACATTTTCTTTTTAAAGTTTATGTACTTTAAAAAATTGTAAACATTATAGAGTTAAAGAAATCAAAGGTCTCCTAGTGCTTTCATTATTCAGGGCTGCCATGCTAACACAGCTTCAAACTCAGCAAAACTTGAGTACTGATCAATCTGGCTTCTGGATTAGAAACTGAAATTACTCAACACATTTGTCCTTCTCTTACGCCCTCTTCTGGATAAAGAAAAATTACTCTTCTTCATGAGTTTGTGAGTAATGGGGTCATAAAAGCCCACCTCAACACATTATAAACACATTTCAAAACGTTCTAAAGTTTTCCTAGTTATTAGCATTACACATATATAAGTACTAGCACTATGAACAGGCCACATATGACTCCCTCAAAACTGTTTACACTTTCTATAAATTGCTGAGTCCAATTTCTCCTTTTCTAGACAAGATATATCTTCAGGGATGCCAACTTGAATGGTTTAGGGTTAGCATCTACATGGAGAGAGAAGTCCTTCAGAAGCATATTAATCTGACGGAGAAAACCACAAATTTTTGATCTGAACATTGCTTTACATTCCAAGCAACCACTATAAGGAATTACTTTCTCATCTTTTGAAAAAGTTATAACGTTGTATTACTCCTTAGTTTTTAAACTGCTCCAAATCCTAGGATTAAACAATTAATGCACTGTATGTGCGTACCTGTTTCTTGCACACGGTTAGTCCCTACAGCCCAAAATGAAAAATCTGACATTCCAATTTCAGTCAAGTTACATTATGTCTGCGATTAAAAAAAAATCGTTTTTCTCCACCTCTCAATTATTGCTCGTAACAAATTTGACGTGCTGGGTTTTTTATTTACTTTCTTAGCGTTCCCTTTATTCCTCTTCAATTTAAAAATAACTTATTTTTCGAAATCTGCATGGATATAAACTTTTAAGCTCATTTTTTTCTCAAGTATTTTCTAATGTGACTTTCACCCTTGATGTTCATTAAAATAGTTCTGTGATCAATGCCAGTTTTCAAAATGCGAAAAACACCTTCGAATGTGGAAAAAAAGAAAAAAGCCACATTTGAGCCAAGATGGTAGACCAACCTCATGGATGAGCCACTTGGTTCCCCTCTAAGGACAAGAGGGGGTCAAAATCTCGCCCTCTTCCCCATCCGATCGGACATTTTTGAATCCCTACCTTCAAAGACACTAACCAAGCCCAGAAGGTAAACGTTGAGTACGAAGAGAATGAGCAAGTTTTTTGTTTTTTTGGGGGGGAGGAGTAGAAAACGAGAGCTGGAAGGAAAGGGCCCAAGTGAAAGCCTCAGAGGCGGAGTCGTGAGCGAACCTGGCAGGAGACGAGGTTGCTGTGGCGGAGAAACTCGTGACCGTGGACCTCGGTTCCCGCTGGGTACCCCACCCGGGCTCAAGCACCGCCTCGGTTCAAAATTAATCCCCCCCGCCAACCCCCCAGACTTCCGACCCCAAGGAGCGTGGCG